TTTGATTGAAGTATCAACTGTAGTGCTGTAATATTAAGTATTTTAGAGAATAAAGGAGCCCGAGCTTAACTGGTTAGCACTTGACGATTTGCAACGCTACGCCTTAAGCTCAATTCCTACCATGGGTCTCCATCTAACTAAATAAATAATGTTTGGCTCTCTCTATAGTCAATAATCTATTCTTTATACCCACCGAATTCTACCACCACCTCTCTTCTCACTTCTCTCTTGATCTCCAAATCTCCTTCTCTCTCTCTCTCTCTCTCTCTCTCTCTCTCTTTTCTCCCTGCCTGCCCTCACTCTCCATCTTAATAAACTGCTTGTCGCCCACGACTTCCTATCTTCTCCCTCTCTTTCTCTTGTTATAAAACCAAAAAGAATTCTTTAGGTAAAGTGCCCATTCAACAAGGGACGGTTCCGTGAATGGAGATTTTGATGGAGGTTTTAGAGAGACACTGGTTGGACCTCTATTGTTGAATGGATTCATGGAGCCCTAATGAGAGTACATGGTTTAGAGTGGTGTGAGATAGGGAGTAATTGAGTACTGGGATTTGATTTTTGGGGTTTTGAAAGAGTTTTGGTTGGAAAATGTTGTATCAACAGCCAGCTAGAGAGGCATTGGTGGCCTTTGAGGATGAGGCAGCAATGCATCGATATATGCATTTCACTAAGCATGCATGCATTGACAATGTCATTGGCCCAAGCCGGGTTTTGGCTGCTGAGACTCGATAGTTATGCAAGGAGATTGGTGATGCTGAGACTTTGAGATGCAAGAGAGTTGGAGGGGCATTATCGTAAGCCAATCTAAAGGACAGGGAAAGATGATTCCAGTCCATTTTCTGGTTTTATGTTCTCATTACATGATTAAAAGTGGGGGATTGTGATTGCGCTGATCTTTCAAGACTGGTTCTGGTTGTTTCAGCCAAGGCGCATCTTGGCTCGTTTTGCATTCTTTGTACTTCTAAGTTTTAAACAATGACAAAAAGGGGAAAATCAGTCTATGATACGTATTCAATGTTTATCATGAAGACCATTGTCAATAAACCGTTCCTCACTTCGTCCACCCTGGGGGACCCCTAATGATGTGCTTATGAGCTCATGCACACTGATCTCCATTAGATGCGCATTACTTAAGCTCTGTCAAATAAAGACTGCCAGGTTGAAAATTTGATTAGAGATATTACATAGGAGATTCTTATTATTCCATCATCAACATGCATTTTCTTTTCCTTTTCTTCACTTGGAAGGATTCAACTAGAACAATTCTTACATATTCTCTTGCCCAAAATTACTAATATAGTTCTCAATGAGGAATGATTTTGTTATCGAATAAATCATTACGTGCTATGGATGAACTGTGTGCCCTGTTTAGGTGATAACTGAGGACTCTATTCTTTCATCTAATTTATTTGTTAATTTGACATGAATTGTTGGAATATTTGGAAGTTTCCTTCCATAATTTATTTTCAAAATTTTGTTAATGTTGATTACTTATGTTAATCATTCTTTTGTTCAAGTTTGGAGGCTGATGGTGGACATATGTATGAAGCATTCTATAGTATTTATAAAATGGATGGAGCTGGTGGCACCTACAATCTAGAGAGCTATGCCATGTGGGTTTTTGTTATATTCTTTGTTGTATAGGTCAGAGAAGTCTTGGATATTCAACTTTTAAGAGGCAAATCTTGATAGGCACTTCCTAGTAGGATTAGCCTTCATGTTTAACTAGATGGATCAAGGATGATTAATCTATGGCCGGATTGTTGGGGTTCTCCCAAGTCTGTGGCTCTATGCACACAGAGTTGCTATGTGAGAGAGGGAACAGAATAACTATTATGTTAGTGATGAAAGAAAGGAAGCAAAAGGTGGAAACACAAAGTGAGACAACAAAGACGATAGGTTGACACCGGGGATAGAAATGGGGAGAAAACTTTTCAAAGAATCGTTAAACTCCTTTGGGATCGATGTCCCGTCATATTTAGAATGCGACCCAACTTTTGAGGAGTCGTGATCCTCCATCGATAGGTATGAAGATCCTTTGTAGTTAAGGATCGAGATCCCAATAAGTAGGGATCGAGATCTCCTTATGGGAGGAAGCTAGTACTGCTCGGGCTCCAGTTCCCCTATCGCCGAATAGAGAATCCAAGAGTGGAACGCCACCCCTTGACCAAGATCCCCACAACTAAGGACTCATTTAATCTCATAGCGGTAATTGGCATTCCATCATGTGATTGATACTGGAAATTTCAAGGTTACTTTCACTTGCCATGAGGGTAACATGCACACAAACAAAGAGAATATGCAATGCTATAGCTGGCCGAATACACTCGGAGGCCTTAAACTCAATCTATTTATTCTTATAAACCCTAAAAGGCAGCAAAACCAGCAAGTCACATGGAGAAATAATTATCTATTAGAAATAAAGAAATATAAATCTACCCACTAGAACTCTTGCATGACCTTCCACAGGCTGTATTCTGCATCAGCCACAAAATTTGACATATTTCAGTCATTATTCCTCTTGATTCTTCATACCTAAGGGAGGAAACGTGAGCAGCATGAGTTTTAGTGGGCAGTGCAGATAACCATATTGGTTTTGCCCACAAAAAAGGAAGAAAATTGAGGTGCCCTTTGATGAAATTAATACTGAAATCAATACACCCAGGATTGTTTTTCTTTTTTTTGTTTTTTTGGTCATTTCCTTTTTAGGGGGGGGAGGGGGAGGAAAAGAAAAGAAACGACAATAATGCATGAAATGGATCCCCTTGTTCTAATCTTGTGTCAGAAGGCCATATTTAGGAAAATGGATCCCCTTGTTCTAATATTGTGTTAGAAGGCCATATTTAGAAAAATGGATGGATAACTTGGATTGGTCACCTCGAAAATCAGGTCAGACTGGTGGATCGGCGATTCAGATCAGAGAGTCGACCAGATAGACTTTTTTATGCCTCTAAATTTTTTTCAAAAAATCTCTGAAAACCCTAAAAATAGTGTTTTTTGAGTTTCCATTGGGATGTCATTCCCTTGTCTGGAAGTGTATTGACCATTACATTCACATCACTGGAAAAAATGGGCCTACAATCATCATGGATATGAATACATGGTCTAAAATGGAGCATAAAATAACTAAAATATAACCTAATACGAAATGAAAGATGACTCCGTTCTTCCTCTTCATTATTTTGGTGCCACTCATTGAATTATCTCGGGAAATCATTTGAGTCGATCCATATATGCCTCAGAATCCTTGGTGCCAATTTGACTATACCCGAGTCCTTCACTTTTGAAGGAGGAAACTACCATGAGTTTCCTTGAGAATTTGGTTTAATTATAAAACATTGTAAAAAATATTGATCCACACATCGTATGCATCAATAACCTATATGCATCAAAACCCTAATTGCATTTAGGAAAACAAGAATTTTTCTATTTTATTTTTGAAAGAATTTAATTAATTTAAATGTCCTTTTAAAATTAACTAATTTTTCTTTTTAAAAATTTATTTCTCAAAAATCCATTAACCAATCCTTAAAATTGCCAAATTTCATACTCTTTTTCATTTTAATGATTATATGATTTTGAATATACATAAATTATTAAACAAATTACGAGATTTGTATCATTGACATATAATTATAAAAATTGTTTCATCCCCATGAAAGTTGCAAACTCACAAGATAAAATTGAAGATAATTGGAAAAAAAATTAAAAATTCTTATTCTTGCAATGTATAAAGAACCCTTTTTCCTCAAAAGCCCTAATTTTATTAAGCAAATTACAATTATTTTTGAAAGAAAGAGTGCTCTTTAACCTTAAAACCAAGATGCATTTTGGCCAAAATTGTCGAACTTTTCGGTTTGCGTCCATTAAATTGCATTCATTATAAGATATATGGGCTCATTAGGAAGCTCAATACGATTATTTTGAATCAAATTTGAAGAAACAATGAGTGTACATAATGCACCAGACACGATGAAGAGGAAGAACGGCGTCGTCTTTTATTTTTGTATTAGGTTGTATTTCAGTTGTTTTATGCGCCATTTTGGACTATGTATTCATATCCATGATGATTGTAGGCTCCTTTTTTTCCCGTGATATGAATGTAACGGTCAATAGACATCTAACCAAGGGATGTCATCCCAATATTCACATATTAATAATGGTACTACATAGTGCACCACCGCAATTTATTTGGAAACTTGAAAAACACTTTTTTAAAGAATTTTTTGAAATTTTTTTGAGGCCCAAACTGGCTGATTCTTCGGTCCGGATCACCAATCCATCGATCTGATCCGGTTTTTGGGATGGCTGATTTGGGTCACCCATCCATTTTTTTTAACCTTGCTTCGATATGTTGACTCTTCAAGCCACACTTTATCTATGTGCGCATCATATAGGGCAATTTACTCATATGTTTCTACTTGAATTAATGATATGTACATGGCTGGACATTGCATTTCATTTCAAAAAGAGATTCCCATTCTGTGTAATTGACAACAGTGGGCTAGGTAAGGGCTGATGCAGCACCCATGACCATTTCCCTCTATAATGACATCGCTTGATTGATGTCCTTTTTGTGGTTGCTTGAAGGTTCTTAATCGTCTCTTAAAATTCCTATGCATCTATATATATCTTGTGATATCCCTTGTCAGCTTTGTATGGAGCTTCACTATTGTATGGAAGTCATTGTTTTTTATTTATTATTGTTTTTCCTACATCTCTTTTTTGCTTGTCTATTTTCATCAGAAGAAAAACCAAAAATCACTGCCTTTTTGTCCCTTTTGGCGGTTCCTTCCGCAGTCTTGTAATCTTTGTAATTCTCTTGTATTTTGTACTCTTTAAGTTAATTGTTGTAATAGTATATATTTTAAGTTCTTAGGTCTCTAAATTATTTAGGTTATCATGCATTGTAAGCTACATAAAATGCTTTTCTTTCTTCGCGATAATGTTTATTCAGAAATTCCAGAAGATGTTTACATTGTACTAAATTCTTTTAACAGGCAGCAATGGCAGCTAAGAGGGCAAGGGAACTTGTACGAACAAAAAGTGTGTTGAAGTCATCTTCTCTTCCAGGCAAGCTAGCTGATTGTTCCTCTATGAATCCTGAAGAATCTGGTTAGTTGTATTTCACCCTTTTGTTGTTTGGTTTTAGGGATGGAAAATATTTGGTTTGAATCAGGGTTTTGGCACAATGAGATAAGTTAGTTACATCGGTGATGTTGGAGCAATTTACAATCTCACTCTAAATCTTTTTCGCAACTTCTTTCCATGGATGTGATTTTATTTTAGGATTTTAACTTCTCTTAGGGGCCGTATGGATACCTGGAAATATATTGTCTGTGAAATATATTACTATCATAATACATTACCTGTAAATGGATTGTTACTGTTTGGGTAGTATTTAGATGCAACCTGGGAAATACAATGTTATTGTTTGCCTATGTCTGGAAGAAATATAGGAAATGCATTACCAACATTTTTACCGGCATGTGCCTATAAACTATCATTTCTTTCTTTTTTGTCACAAAATTCCACTAAAATACAGAATTATCATTTCCTTCTTTTTTGTCACAAAATTCCACTAAAATACTGAATTAAAATCATCATCATACCATTCCAAAAAGATTTCTAATAATAACATTATCACCATTCCAAAAAGATTTTCTAATAATAACTTGTATCATTTTACAGTCATGACACTATTTCCTACTTATTAAGTGCTTTTGGTACTTATATGCAATCACATGTTTTCTAACATGACATTGGTTTCAACATGATAAGTCATTGGAACAATATGATTGGAATAACATGATTTTATTTTGACAAGCCTTATTTTTATTTATTTTGTATAGAAGTCTTTCAAATGTCTCTCTATATAATTCAAATAAACAATAAATTTATGATACTAAATTCAAAATCTATGGGGTACGAGTTAAAAACTGGGAAGAAGTTTGATTAGTAAACTAGAAGGTTGGGTAATTGCAGTATAAAATTTTGAGGTATTGGAGGAGACTAAAGAGGTATGTTATTTCAATTGAGATTTTAGTAATCTCTTATGAAGATTATGTTGTGTTGAAATTTTTTATTATGATTGTGTTGTGTAATTTATCAATGGTTACTGATTTTTATTTTTATTATTTTTGTTTTTATATGACACTGATGCCTCAGATGAGAGGACGAGCTTAAAAAGGGAGGGATCACATTATGTTGTGTGAAATTTTTTATTATGATGGTGTTGTGTAATTTATCATTGATTACTGATTTTTATTTTTATTATTATTTTTTTTATATAACAGCTGATGCCTTCAGATAAGGGGACGAACTTAAAAAGGGAGGGATCACCTAGTTATTATGAAGAGAGAGGGCTAAGAAGATTTTTTTAATCAGGGATAGGGTAGGCAAAAACGCACGTGAAAGATTTTCCAAAATTACCCGTCACGCTCGTAATAGATTTTTCACCTATCACCACGCGTAATGGATTTCCTGATTTTTGAGGAAATCTCGCGTAATCTCTTTTCATTTCCTTACGATTAAGTGTACCCAAACAGTGGAAATGCCATGTTTCCTTGTAATCTATTGTCATGTAATAGATTTCCAGGTACCCAAACGGCCCCTTATTGATCTTTGAGTGCATATATATATATTTGCTACCGGAAAAAGGAATCATCTCGAAAAAGGTATTGTCCATGCATTTATTATGAATAAGTGGAATTAATTCCATCATTGACTGCCCTACCAATTTATATAGAAGACATTTCCTTTGATCACCTGTGCAACTATATCTATGAGAGAGTATGTTATGCAACTATAGCGATCATATGGACGGCTACCTAGAGGTAGGAATGCTAAAGGGATTCTATCGAGAGAGAGAGAGAGAGAGAGAGAGAGAGAGGAGGGAGGAGTGAGTCGTGAGT